GACTACAGAGGGAGAGACATGACCATCCTATCCCTCAAACAACACATGTACAGTACTGCCTATCTCAAACCTACTCACTCACAGACATTGAGTACAAACATTGTCTTACCTCATTGTGGGATGGTAAAGTATTGTGAGGTGGTAAAGTATTTTACATGTGAAGCTAATTTGCAGGCAAACAAAATATGTTTCCTGCAGGTCTCGAGACCCTCAGCTCTTCCTTTAGAGACTACTAATGTCTGGGCCTCACTGGCAGCACCAGACTTAGAGCCAGGAGTTACCATGGAGAACAAAACAACTTACCACATGGTATGGAATTGAATCTGTGTATGTCGCTAGAGGTAAAAGCTTGCCTATTTTAGAGGTGTGTAAATATCTTTAGATGTAATAATAACATCTTATGTAAGCATTCAATCTACTTTGTTTCAACTTCTCCATCTTGTGATGCTTTATGATTTACGTCCCTTAATAAACCAGGCGCCATGGAGAAGCTGTATATTATCCTATAGCAAACATTGGGTTTTCTATTCACTGTCTATATTTGTGGATCATGCATCATGTATTGTGCTTTCACAGCTGACTTATGTACTGTAGCCTGTGTTAACGTTTTTCTCATTTTGCAGTTGATTCAATCTCAATACGAGCCATATTCAAAACAAGCATTACGAAAAAAAAGAAAAGGAATTACGGTTTGTTTTGTGTGGTTTTTGGAGACTTAAAAAATGCAGACGAAGCATAGAGTTAGTGAGAGGTATCGGAACAGACAACGAGAAACACATTGCTGAAAGCCACAGGATAGAGTGAAGGGAAGAAGGGAGAGAGGGGGAGAGGGAAAGAGAAAGGAAAGGGGAAGGAAGAGAGGGGGGGAACTGGGATGGAATATGTCCACATTTCTAAGTTGTCTTTTTTTTCTTCCTTTTAAATACAGAGAAATGCACATTCTTTCCATACAAAAGTGCTTCGGCTGTATGTTGAAAAAATATATATAGAGAAAAAGTCACGACTCCCTGTGGTCTGTAATCATCGGTAGAACAGGCAGGGAAACTGACCCCAAAGGAGAGACCAGCGGGTTCCTCTGACTGATGGGTCTGCAGCACACGGCATACTACAAAACACATACCGTATCACACATTAAAGTCAATGGGAAAGGGACATCCATAAACTTAAATAAAACATCCTATTATAATGAGCTTTGCTGCATATTTGACACACATGGACAGAAGATGAAGGGTAATATTCGAGTTTAAGTCATCAGACTTTAATATAAACCAGTCAGAATAAACCAAACAGGCTCTTTGTACTGTTTTATAGACATGTTTACAGACGTCCAAAAAGACAATTAAACATGCTGTTGTGGAAAACTCGATCCAAAGATTAAAGGCAGAGATTAATACAAGGCCCTCCCCCGCACTCCTTTCGGCAAATCTCTCCATTTTGCTCCTCCCTTCCTATAGGCAGAAACTCAAACAGGAAGTACCTGTGCTAAGGACTATTCAATGCTGGTCTGACCAATCAGAATCCACGCTTCAAGATTGTTTTGATCACGCGGACTGGGATATGTTCCAGGTAGCTTGCGAAAATCATTTTTACGGACATATTCAATCTCTCCCTATCCCAGTCTGCTGTCCCCACATGCTTCAAGATGGCCACCATTGTTCCTGTACCCAAGAAAGGAAAGGTAACTGAACTAAATGACTATCGCCCCGTAGCACTCACCTCTGTCATCATGAAGTGCTTTGAGAGACTAGTCAAGGATCATATCATCTCTGCCTTACCTGTCACCCTAGACCCATTTCAATTTGCTTACTGCCCCAATAGATCCACAGACGATGCAATAACCATCACACTGCACACTGCCCTATCCCATCTGGACAAGAGGAATACCTATGTAAGAATGCTGTTCATTGACTATAGCTATAGCATTCAACACCATAGTACCCTCCAATCTCATCATTAAGCTTGAGGCCCTGGGCCTGAACCCCGCCCTATGCAACTGGGTCCTGGACTTCCTGACGGGCCGCCCCCAGGTGGTGAAGGTAGGAAACCGCATCTCCACTTCGCTGATCCTCAACACTGGGGTCCCACAAGGGTGCGTGCTCAGCCCCCTCCTGTACTCCCTGTTCATCCATGACTGCGTGGCCAAGCACGCCTCCAACTCAATCATCAAGTTTGCAGACGACACAACAGTAGTAGGCTTGATTACCAACAATGACGAGACAGCCTACAGGGAGGAGGTGAGGGCTCTGGGAGTGTGGTGCCAAGAAAATAACCTCTCACTCAACGTCAACAAAACAAAGGAGATGATCGTGCACCCCCCTATCCACATCGACGGGACCGCAGTGGAGAAGGTGGACAGCTTCAAGTTCCTTGGCGTACACTTCACTGACAAACTGAAATGGTCCACCCACGCAGACAGTATGGTGAAGAAGGCCCAACAGAGCCTCTTCAACCTCAGGAGGCTGAAGAAATGTGGCTTGCCACCTAAAACCCTCACAAACTTTACAGATGCACAATTGAGAGCATCCTGTAGGGCTGTATCACTGCCTGGTACGGTAACTGCACCGCCCGCAACTGCAGGGCTCTCCAGAGGGTGGTGCGGTCTGCCGAACGCATTACCGGCGGCAAACTATCGCATCCTATCATCTCTTCCCTCTGCTCAATCCTTCTCCCTCCAATCTCCTGATTCTGCCTCTTCAAACCTCCTCTCCTCCCTTTCTGCATCCTTTGACTCTCTATGTCCCCTATCCTCCCGGCCGGCTCGGTCCTCCCCTCCTGCTCCGTGGCTTGACGACTCATTGCGAGCTCACAGAACAGGGCTCCGGGCAGCCGAGCGGAAATGGAGGAAAACTAGACTCCCTGCGGACCTGGCATCTTTTCACTACCTCCTCTCTACATTTTCTTCATCTGTTTCTGCTGCTAAAGCCACTTTCTACCACTCTAAATTCCAAGCATCTGCCTCTAACCCTAGGAAGCTCTTTGCCACCTTCTCCTCCCTGCTGAATCCTCCTCCCCCTCCCCCCCTCCTCCCTCTCTGTGGATGACTTCATCAACCATTTTGAAAAGAAGGTTGACGACATCCGATCCTCGTTTGTTAAGTCAAATGACACTGCTGGTCCTGCTCACACTGCCCTACCCTATGCTTTGACTTCTTTCTCCCCTCTCTCTCCAGATGAAATCTTGCGACTTGTGACGGCCGGGCGCCCAACAACCTGCCCGCTTGACCCTATCCCCTCCTCTCTTCTCCAGACCATCTCCGGTGACCTTCTCCCTTACCTCAGCTCGCTCATCAACTCATCATTGACCTCTGGCTATGTCCCTTCCGTCTTCAAGAGAGCGAGAGTTGCACCCCTTCTCAAAAAACCAACACTCGATCCCTCCGATGTCAACAACTACAGACCAGTATCCCTTCTTTCTTTTCTCTCCAAAACTCTTGAGCGTGCCGTCTTTAGCCAACTCTCTTGCTATCTCTCTCAGAATGACCTTCTTGATCAAACCAGTCAGGTTTCAAGACTGGTCATTCAACTGAGACTGCTCTTCTCTGTGCCACGGAGGCTCTCCGCACTGCTAAAGCTAACTCTCTCTCCTCTGCTCTTGTCCTTCTAGACCTGTCTGCTGCCTTTGATACTGTGAACCATCAGATCCTCCTCTCCACCCTCTCCGAGTTGGGCATCTATGGCGCGGCTCACTCTTGGATTGCGTCCTACCTGACCGGTCGCTCCTACCAAGTGGCGTGGCGAGAATCTGTCTCCGCACCACGTGCTCTCACCACTGGTGTCCCCCAGGGCTCAGTTCTAGGCCCTCTCCTATTCTCGCTATACACCAAGTCACTTGGCTCTGTCATATCCTCACATGGCCTCTTCTATCATTGCTATGCAGACGACACACAACTAATCTTCTCCTTTCCCCCTTCTGATAACCAGGTGGCGAATCGCATCTCTGCATGTCTGGCAGACATATCAGTGTGGATGACGGATCACCACCTCAAGCTGAACCTCGGCAAGACGGAGCTGCTCTTCCTCCCGGGGAAGGACTGCCCGTTCCATGATCTCGCCATCACGGTTGACAACTCCGTTGTGTCCTCCTCCCAGAGTGCGAAGAGCCTTGGCGTGACCCTGGACAACACCCTGTCGTTCTCCGCTAACATCAAGGCGGTGACCCGATCCTGTAGGTTCATGCTCTACAACATTCGGAGAGTACGACCCTGCCTTACACAGGAAGCGGCACAGGTCCTAATCCAGGCACTTGTCATCTCCCGTCTGGATTACTGCAACTCGCTGTTGGCTGGGCTCCCTGCCTGTGCCATGAAACCCCTACAACTCATCCAGAAAGCCGCAGCCCGTCTGGTGTTCAACCTTCCCAAGTTCTCTCACATCACCCTGCTCCTCCGCACACTCCACTGGCTTCCAGTTGAAGCTCGCATCTGCTACAAGACCCTGGTGCTTGCCTACGGAGCTGTGAGGGGAACGGCACCTCCGTACCTTCAGGCTCTGATCAGTCCATACACCCAAACGAGGGCATTGCGTTCATCCACCTCTGGCCTGCTGGCCCCCCTACCTCTGCGGAAGCACAGTTCCCGCTCAGCCCAGTCAAAACTGTTCGCTGCTCTGGCACCCCAATGGTGGAAAAACTACCCGCCCTCCAGGACCCCTACAGCACCCGATGTCACAGGAAGGCCAAAAACATAATCAAGGACATCAACCACCCGAGCCACTGCATGTTCACCCCGCTATCATCCAGAAGGCGAGGTCAGTACTGGTGCATCAAAGCAGGAACCGAGAGAATGAAAAACAGCTTCTATCTCAAGGCCATCAGACTGTTAAATAGCCATCACTTGCACATTAGAGGCTGCTGCTGCCTATTGAAATCACTGGCCACTTTAAGAAATGGAACACCAGTCACTTTAATAATGTTTACATATCTTGCATTACTCATCTCATATCTATATACTGTATTCTATAATATTCTACTGTATCTTATGCCATGCCGCTCTGTCATTGCTT